ACAGTTACTAAAAAAAAAAAAAAAAAGTAGAATAATCGCTTTTTCTTTTTTGACATGCATTTGGGTGGATCCCACTCTAGGGAAATGCTAGCCAACATCAATCTGGAAGTTGGGACTGAAGAGTCCTGATTGTCACTAAGCAAAGCAGTAATTTTGTTCGTTTTTGCAGCAGGTCAAGGACACACTATCTAACAAGAACAAAGAATTACTGCAGGGAGCTGCCTTGCAAGCAGAGGATGGAACTTGTATAGAAGTGGTGTCAGCTTTAATATATGGCAAAAGCTGTACATCAACCATAAGACAACAAACTGATATGTAAGGTATAATCCAGTTATGAAAATCTGCAAGATGATGACTTCTCTATTTGAAGCAACAGAGACAGCAAATAAGAACATAAGAAAATAGTCTAACAAGGTCAGAGTAACAAGGCCCTTAACACATCAGAAGCATTGGGTCTCTTTCCCAGTCAGTAACAGGTTAATCAATCACTGTGTGGGTTTGGGTAGGGGAAGGGAGAAATTGATATAGTCAAATGAAAGTCTGACAACTTCAGATATAAAACTTGGAACGAGATCTTATCCTCATGTTCTCATGGAAATGTTGTGTAGATAAAGCATCCATAACTATCACTGCTCCTTTTGGCTGACATCCCCTACCACTGTTAATATATATTAGCCTACATAACTCCTTCAGTGCAGATTCTCGCAAACAGATCAGAATGGTTAACTTGCTACCTCACTGCTTGTACAATTAGTTTATTAAATATGAAGTTTCATGTCTTTTTGAGAGAAATGTTCCTTATATTTGTAGATGGCCTAGTTGTATGCCTGAACCTACACCTGATGTGTAAGTCAGCATCCTAGTATTTTATTTATTTATATAGTTAATGCAAACCTGCGAAGCCAAGCAATAGCCTCCTCGTTAGCTGAATTCAAAGTTATTAATCCACCTCTTAGTTTGTCGAGGGGGACACTCCTCAGTGATGTGCAGAATTATTTGCATCTCTCCACATGTGAACGATGGATTAGCACTGAGGACCCGAGGCAAACCCCACAGCAACAGCCGGCCCTCACCACACGCACAAATCCTGGGGGCACACCCCCCCATGCTTGCCAGGAGTACACGCAGCAGCAGGAGCTGCCCTTCCGCTGTCCCCACCCCCTTCCCCCCCAAACGAGCCACTCGTGGATCCACCCCATGCTCTCCCCTGGCTG